CATCCGCCCGGTGTTTGCCATCGGGGTCGGGTTTTCTTCGCTTGGCAACGACGTTGTAAAACAAGCCCCCCCCTCGGTATTTGCCATCGGGGTTGGGTTTTCGTCGCCTGGCAACGACGTTGTAAAACAAGCCCCCCCCTCGGTATTTGCCATCGGGGTTGGGTTTTCGTCGCCTGGCAACGACGTTGTAAAACAAGCCCCCCCCTCGGTATTTGCCATCGGGGTTGGGTTTTCGTCGCCTGGCAACGACGTTGTAAAACAAGCCAATTCACTTCGTGAGCTCGGCAACCAGGTTACCGTTTGTTTTTTTTCACCTGTGTTTTTTTTTTGGCGGTGACCATGAATGGTGGTCGAGTGGATCATGTTGTGCGGGGTCGAGAACCCTCACTCCGCGCGAGGGGGGCGGTCACACCACGCTGTGCTAAAATGGTCAAGCACCCTCCAGGCAGTTAGACAGTGCTTACAACTGTCTCTTGCAGTGGAGGACCAGAAAATATGTTAAGTCATACGCAGCTGTCATCCGTATGCAAGGAACTAAGCACAAGACGCCGAACACCCTTCGCAGGATGCAGCGCACCCTTCATGCGACTCGCCGAATATCTCACGGCGCTTCGCGCTTGGTGATGTGAGAGCCTGGTCCGGTGAGAACCCGGCGTGCTCCGTCCCGGCTTTGTAGGGATGCGAGGTCAATGGTCTAACGACTACGGCATTCACGACTATGAGTACACACCCCACTCCAACCCCCCCGGTTCTCTCTTGTATATGCCGCCGTCGCCCCCTTACCTCTTCAAGTGGGCGATCTCGGACTTGTACTTCTCCTCCTTGGAATGAGCCTGAGCGTTCCTCTGTCTCAGCCTTTGCACCTCCACCTGCAGCTGCCTAACGGCAGCCGGCGTAGACTTACCGCCCTGTCATACACGATAACGATCGCGATTAAGGCCCACGTTTCACGTATGCATACACAACCGAAAAAAACAAAACATGTTCATCGCCACGTGATCAACCGGCGGCAAACACTTGAACCGCGCGCACGGGGTGCCCTCCCTTCACACAGTGGCGCAGGAATCGAATGCTTCGCTGGGCAGGCACAGCTTTTCCAACGAAAGGAGACACACACAGCCGGCGACGTGAACGCCAGGCTGATCGCCCATAACGATGATATTCCCAAGCACGCATGCTCCCAACGTTCAAGTCATCAATAAACTCTCACTGCCACGACAGTCACGGGAAATGGGACACAAGTCGGGTAGCGTGAGTGCGGGGGATCTCCGCCATAGACTATGTAGCGAGGCCTACCTCGTCGTTCGGCAAGACATCCTTGAGCAGCTTCGAAACGGGGGATCGCTTCGGGGTACCTCCTTCTGCGTGAGCGCCTGATTGGCCGTTTAAAGCTGAAAACACGCACCGGAGAGGGGGGAGGGGGGGGGTACAGAAACAAAAAAAATGCGATCCGTGCGAGGAGAGGGAAGGCCGGGTGATGTTGAGGGATGAGGGAACCATCTGCTCGTATGGTTGGAGCGAAGCGGTCGCAGAGGAGCCAAAGCAAAGGGCCGGTGCTGCCTGCCGATCACGCTTGCAGAGCTGGTACGGGTTGGGCGGGAGTGATCGTTGGAATGTTCGATAGGCATCAGCCCTCGAGGCCGCCAACTGCCCAACACCCGAAAACAACCAAGTCGACTACCCCGGGTATGTGCCTGTCGTACCTGCTAAGCTGTAGGCCCTCTCTCCATCCCCGGCCTCACACCAACCGACAACAACAACCGACAGCAACAGCAGCAACCACAACAAGCTATCGTTTCTCCCGCCGGCTCACGCGTAGGGGATGGGTTGCGCATGGCCTGCAGCTTGGCGTGGGCAGCGTTGACCGCCTTGAGCTCCTTCTCTGTATCGTTGAGCTTGTCGAGAGATATCTTGAGCTCGTCCGTGAGGTCGTTCACCTGATATTGTTCGGAGTCAGCAGCATCCAGTGGTGAGGAGCATAATGATCGGTGGACAACCAACAACGCAAGAATGAGCCATGCTAGTTGACGGGACTACGTGAGAACGTGTATGCCTCTGTCAAACATCTCTGCCTGTTCATCTGCCCTTCTCTCTGTTGATTGCCTGTCTGCCTCCTCCATCTGTCATTCAGTCAAGTCCATCTCGCTCACTCCCCCTTCCTTCCAAAACACACACCCTCTATCCCTCTCGTCAGCCACCTACCTGGCCATACGCCCCGGTGAGCAACGCCAACAGCGTCTCTCTCTCGTCGTCCTCCATTGTCTCCGCAGTGTTCCGGAACGAAGTAGCCTCGCCTCCCCCCTCCGCTGCCACTGCCGCCGGCCTACCCACCGCAGCCTCAGCAGCAGCCGCACCATCCCCCGGATCGGCAGAATAGGACCCATGGAGCGACCTCGACAAGTCTCTCCCTTCCTCTGGGATGGCACCGGGGTTAGCACCGACACCATCTCCGAAGTTGGCCATCGCCGCGGCGACGATCGACTGCCCCTCCCCCTGCCCCATGGAAGACTTCCTATGCCGGCGGCGCCGGCGCTCTGACGGCTCGGCGGCATCAACGCCAACGCCATGATGCCCTCCGGTGCTAGAGCGCCGACCGCTCCCCACTGTGCGGGAGGACGTTGAGGACCGGAATGGAGAGCCGCAGGCCGAGTCTTGACTGGCGCCGAGGCCGGGCCGGCCGTGCGACGTTGGGGTGATGAGATCATGGTTGCTGCCGCGGCTCGCGGTTCGTTTGTGATGGAACGATCGACTGCTGCCGGAGCGCCTTCGGCAGGGGCGGTCGAGGGGTTGCCGGGAGGAAGGGAAGGTTTTCCACGGTAAGCCATGTTTCGCCTCGATGATCTTGAACAGTTCAAGCTTGCAGTCTCGATCGGCTAAAGTGCCGGTGCACACGAACACAAAATCGACCTCATGCAAAACGAAGCCGCAGGGCAACCAACGACAGAAGCCACATACTAGTGCAACGAAAATGGGTCACCAACAGACAACCCGCGAGCACTTTCACTTCGTTGAACTGCACGCAGAAATGTGCGCAGGGGTGCCCCCCGCATATACACATGAGCCGACGCGTACCTTGTTTGCATCTCCTCCATCCTGATTGCCTCCTCTTCTATGGCTTCGTTGGCCGCCTCAAGCCCAAGCTCTTGCACTGTTTCCCTCACCACCGTCAAGAACGCCTTCCGATGAAGGAACAGGCAGGAGCAGCAGCGTCGACGGCGGCGGGAACAAGACTTCAGTTCAGACGACAAGCCAGTGGTGTGGACTTCTGAACACTGGAGCACAGCAGTGGGTGGAAGCCTGTGCTTCGCAGACAGTGCCAGGCCGGCAGTTTCACAGGGAACTCTCGACGAACAAACCGGCGCTAATCAAGTGCCACCGGCGTTAGTGCGGATAGTGTCGAAACCAGTCCACCGTAGTTGAGAAGAAGCATGTCTCGGCGTTACTGAACTCAAATAAAACTGGAAGATAGAGCCACTTGGGTCGATTAGACAGCAGAATCTAAGAAAGGGTTGGGCGGTAGCGGCGGACGATGCTCAGCAAGATATGGCAGCGTAGGTCCCAACCCAACGCAGGGCACAACATTGACTTCGCTGCTGCTGCTGGGTGTTGTCAAACTTAACCACGCACAAGCCGTGCGCAGTTGCGTCGGCCGCTGGCTGCACACACACACCATGCTGCCCCCTTACGGGGTCCCAGTTCATGGCAGATAGAAGTGTTTAGTGTTTTGTTTTAACTGCACCAAGACTGGCGTCTTTTTATTGGTCAGTCGGTTAGCGCGGTCGATGCTGATAATAAAAAAAAACACACACACACACAATGTCGCGAAGCCCGGCACTCTCCAGCTGTCTCCGTGATGATTGCATCACTCTTTCCACTGCCAGCGGGATTCGTTAGCTGCACGACTTTCCGCCCACCCGGAGTACATCCTTTACAACAACACTACTGCTGAATGTACGACGCACAAATTTCAACCCGATGCACACACGATGGTGAAGACTTCTTGTCTGGCGAAGTTCGTAACCCAAGAAAGACGCGGACGCAGCGGACTGCTGTCATTAAGTACTGGGGCTAACGCTTGAGCTGTACAGCAACCTCATGCTTCTTTTCCCCCTTTTCCTGCAGCGCGTGAAGCAGTCACCATTTACCATTCTCAGCACCAGTACCGCATCAGCACGAGCTACCACTTTAGTGGAAATAATTTCGTGTTGTTTCGCGGGATCCACATATTATACAGATCGATGATACATGAATAAAGTGGCACGACACAGCAAACGACTGAAAACACTTGCGAATGCACGAGCTGACAGTACAGTTTGGTACCGCCCGTGATTCCGCGAGGAGAGCACTACACACAGAAGCTTGAGCTCACCAAACGACGGCAAACGGCTATCGTAGGTGTTCGCCACGTACGCCGGCAGCACTGCTGTACACACAACGTCCAGCTTGTCAACATGAGGGCATGTTTGCCGCCATTTTCCGGCTTCAGTACGTGTAGACTACATCTGGACGAAACACTGATTCATTCATTCGAAGTAACCATCATTTGTTCGACTCTTTCCCGTATCTATGCATGCATGCGTGCAACTGGTCTCTTTTCGTCGTTGCGTAGAAAGAAAGAAAGAGACCAAGGGGTCGATCGAACGCGCACGAACCTCTTTCCCAGCGTTCCTGAGAGACTTCGCGTGAGCCTTTTCTGCCGAGGATGTCCTAGACGACGACGACGCTGCGGACGTGTTGCTGGCCCGGCGGGAGAAGGAAGGGTGTGCGAGCTCTGGCTCCGGAGGCATTCCTTCCCTCGGTCTGGCTCCAAGTGGATTTCAATACTTCGCCTAGGCAATGCCAACAACCGCAGCAGCAGCAGTTTTCCTGTTGACGCGCCCGCAGCTCGCCCAGAGATCCGGATCTCGACTGACCCGCCCGCGCACCCGTTAATATACACAAGCAACAGAGTACCCGCAATCGCACAGCAGTACACAGCAGTCAGTATAACGCGCGACAATTCTTGGCTGAGCTGCTGTAGATGGAAAGAGCACTGGGCCTTCAATGTCAACATAGGGTACAAATGCATATCAGCCTACCAACCAGAAGAGGAATGGAAGCCAGAGAGAGCGGGATAGGCTGGTACTGCTGTATGCACCGAGAGACCGAGCATGAGCGGGCAGGACGAACTGTACTATTGTGTGCCAGAAAAAAAAAAAAAGGCCGACAGCCCATCAGTGAGACACACCCTCTTTTTCTCCTTTCAGCTATTACTCAACGGTGATGCACATATTCCCGGACCTTTGCAGCCCAAAAGCTTTGATCGGCAACATCAAGTTCCGAACAAAGGCAGGGAGGTAACGGGTACACAGTCGTGTGTGCTGAACCGCTACAATGCTGTGAGGGGGAAGAGTTGAAAGTTGTGGTTCCGGAATGACGACGAATGAAAAAAACTGACTTGTTCTGTAACTTGGTGAGAGAGGTATACATTCACGCACACGGCACATTTACGCGGAAGCTTTGGATGACGCTGTGAAGCTAGACACTTCATGGGTGGCCGTGCGGAACACGACGATCGGCGTTTCGTGATGGGGTGTATTGTGTACCAACGGACCTCCACCTCGCAACGGCTTGTAACTCGGTTATAGGAGACTTCGAAGGAAAAGAAAAAGTCAGCACGTGATGAGAATGTGTGCCGTACCTCACCACCTCTGGTCCACCGGTCCTAGTAGTGGCCCGTCTTCTGCCGCGGATAGCTCTGTCACCCGTTACGACGGTCGATACCACACGAGCTCGGGAAGCGGTGGCACAGGCGCACTACAAGGCCGAAGAAATGTGACGTGTGGAAGGAGCAACGGAGAGAGCAAACACAGAGATCCGTTGAGAGGCCCAGAGGAGGGGTATCCCGACAACCGCCTTTTTTTTTTGCAGCATCATTTTTGTTTACCCGCAGCGCCCCCATGACATGTAAATTACATCCACAGCTCTGCATCAATGTGTTGGGATTACAGCAGTACAATAAATCACCGACAAAGATGATAAAGGCCTTCGGTGATAGTCTTCGCCTTACATAATAGCTTCGCTCTCGAAACCACGTTCCTCGATGGTCATCATCTTTACACCTTGGTATCCTGCAAACAATAAACCAGATAACTTGCGGGCGAGCAGCACCTATGGTCTGTGTATTACGTAGACTATTTACCATTATTTTTTGAGGTCATGGACCAATAGAGCGGGACCATACGGGACACGGGACCGTGCGACTCCTCCCGCCCCAGCAAAAAAGCCTTCCTAGCAACATGAACCCTCTGCAAGCCAGAACCCTCCGCGAACACTCGCTAGGCGGTTGGCAACAGCAGCAGCTCTGCAGCACGAAAGGAAGCGTGCGCATGCCCGGGAGACTTCGGCGACTGGTGTGCTGTATATTTGTGTGCAATCTTGTTCGGTTGCACCGAAGGCTTACTGTCGTGATGGCGGTAGAGGATGTCCCGCCGTCTACGTCTTCGCTGGGCAGCAGCAGCGACCAGCATCATCACGAAGAGGAGCAGCAGCAGTGCACGCGGTGTATTCTACAAGACGATCGAAGCTTCAGGTGTGGTGATAGATACATATCGCATCTCGTATCTCGGGTAATCCCATTGAACACCAATGATTGCTTTGATCAATGATTTGGTTGTTGGCGTTTGATGATGTGGACGGGTTCCAGGATCGGCCAGGATCGATCGGAGGACCTGGTGTTAGGTTCGCAGCTATCTCCTTAGACCAAGGGCTAACGAAGTCCGCACTGGGATCTTTGTAGTCGTGGGGTCGGGGATACGTTTCTAGTGTTGAAGCCTTCAGATGTGACGAAGACCGATGTTGACTTTATAACCAAGTAGAAACGACTGACATGTGTGTCTCGACAGCCCCCAGCGATCACACGAGATTCGCGGAAGCCCCAGATGAAAAGTGTACCCAGGAACAAATCCCTGCTTTGATCGTGTCGCACAAGCAGTAGGTTGGGTCTTGTCTTTATCAGCGTATCACGCAGTCAAACATAGCAGTCTACCTCCGTTCACCTTCTTTCAAATCAAGCTGGAAAAGAGTTCCTTACTCTGAATCAAGACACAGGAATAGTCCTGCGCGTAGCAAAAAAAAGTTAGACGTACGTAAGAGCCAATTCGCACACTACGGTGCTATACACGCACACAGCAGAGCCACCCCTCCAAGATGAAGCACCTTGGCTGTAGATGTCTCCAATAGCTAGCGACGGGCCCAATTAGTATGAAATTCCATACATCACAGCGCTAGAACTCAGCAGTGAAAGACCTCACGTGGGCCCAAAAAAATACTCCCTCTGTTCCGTAATGTAAGTACGGTTTGGGAATTTCAAATGTAAGTACGGTTCGGCATGTATGCCCTATACTGTGTCATGCAGACATGGCGAAACCTCCGCTAAGGTTGATTTGTGATCGAATATGATTCTTTTTATGCTCAAAAGAAAAAGTTGATCAAGACGGGCGGGGATGGTTTCTTTTCGTCCCCGGGTCAGAGAAATCTGGGGAAATCCAAGCATTTTTCCACCCAGACACCGGGTATTTCTCCACTATGACCCGCGGACGCTGTAGATACATCTACACAGTGAAGTGAGATGAGCTTAGGGCGTGTGAAAGACGCCTATGCCCTAATCCAGACATCTAAGTTGAGCATTGACATCCTTTGTGGAGGGGTCAGACGGGGGCGAGGCGGACCAAGATGCTGATTGGGCAGCGAAGGTCGCCGCAAGGCAGTATGCATCATTCTTCTCATCTCGTCACACCAAACTCCCTCGGTACCACCACGACCGCTACTCGCTTCAAAGCTGACAGCTCACCGTTTATCTACTCCGGAGTACCTCACGAATGAACATAGTGAGACTGAAGACAAACAAACGTGTCATTGTTCATTCCCGCTTCTCCTTAGTTCTCCGAGTACACGTACTTCGGAGTACACGATTTTCTGTGAAACCCCCTCGGCACCACCACTCCTCCTGTACTTTTCCGAGCCGGCATCACCTGGTGTACCTCACTCGAACTACACAAGCGTAGACATTCTGCACAAAAAGCAAAACTGCACCGAAATGAGACACAAGAACTATCCGGCCGCCCCGTTCTACGTCGCGGACCCGTGGCCCTCTCCCGCCGCGAGCGCTGCTCTGCCGGTTGTCCACGATTCCTCCGATATCGGGTACCGCCGGGGGATTGGTGTCCCTGCACGCGCAGCCCGGT